AAAGAAATGATCTGTCTCGAAGCGATGCCTTCTAGAATCTGGTGCGCCTTCCGGCCGTCGACACGTGGACATCAGTCAGCCAGCTATGCTTCTAATTGGTGCGCGAGACAAGGTGCGTCAATGCAAGCCGATCGACCAATGGCAAGAGACCTGCCTTGAGAGTTGAAGCAGGATGTCGACCAATGGCGAAGCGAATGGATTAATTGAACCTGCCAATCGCGGAAGGCCTTGAGCAATTAGGTCTAGGATTGGTAAATAATGCCATGACAGTTGCCATGGTGGCGGCAAGTCCATCGACCGCGTAAATGGTTGCAGTGGCTGCCGATAAGGCGGAGTCAGCCGTGTGTACCTCGGTCGTAGCAAGTCCTAACCTGTACATTCTGGCAATCAGCCACTTTGGTGCAGTCAGCCTCGCTTATGCATGCATCGCCGTGAGAATAGTCGGGATGGTTGTGAGGGCTGGGGGAGGGGGGTAGGGTGAGAGGGAAGGGAGCATCGGATAGGACAGAATAGGCTGAGAGCGGAGCGAAGAGGCGATCTGGCACGGAGACAGTCTCCATGTCTTCTTCTGCCTCACAGAAAAGCGTATTCCGGCGTATCGGCGCCTTCTCGCAGGTCACGATGAGACTTGGTCAAGAGGACAAGTGAACCCGACGACAGAAGCTTCTGCCGGCCGCAGGTCTCGGCAACCACACGCCAACACAGCAACCCGCAGGCTTGGCTGCCTCTTCGTTGTAGACGGGTTTCCCAAAGGGTCAACTTGGAGGGGATCACATGACTGTTGAAAGTGTTCTTTTTGTTGAACCTACTTCCACTTTGAGTGAATGTATTTGGTGAAGAGATTCGAAGGTCGATTCCATTGGAAGACAACGACGGATTCCCCTTGACCAGCTGTCGATTGAGTTTATGGAAACACTCTTGGTGACGCTGTTTCAGAGGCAATTTCCTTCGATTCCGGTGAAAAGGTGCTAAGCTTTCGTCCGTCACATGACGAACATCATCAGAGCAAGGTAT